CCGTCCTGGCCGAGGTTGCTGTGTTGGATGCCGTGTCCGTCTTGGCCTAGGTTGCTGTGGTGAACGCCGTGTCCGTCCTGGCCGAGGTTGCTGTGGCTTCCGTGGTTGATACCGTGTCCGTCCTGACCAAGGTTTCCGTAGCTACCTTGTCCACCTCCGTAGCTGCCGCCACCTGGGGCCGCGCTGGCCAGTGCCAGTGCAGCCAGAGCCATAACCTATAAAAGGGTCACAAACTGTAAACTTCTTCACTTTTGTAAAAGAAACTTAAGAAATTATCTCAGTGCACGGATGTCACACGCCCGTGGAAATTAATGTCCGCGATGTAACTTTGACATATTTAAATCTCGGATTGAGTATTCAAGAATATATATGAAATGCTAAACACGAACCATTCGCGGTTTTTCAAGTAAAATAGCTTGTATAAGTTGACCACTTGCTCTACAACCTGCAGTGTTTTAATAAAAACTGTGATATTACCGTCTGAAATTGCTCTAAAAGTGGTGGACATTTGTTCCTCAAAACTTAGTAATAACGGCCTCTGCCGTCGAAATTTCGATCTTTGTTCTACTTTAATGTCTTTAGCGCTGGTTTGCTACTTACAATGAGGACCTTCATGTTGATTCTGAAGCTGTCAACTAGTAGATCGGCTGCTGTTGTTTGGGAGTCTACTGATACTGTGATGCTGGCGTCTCCGCTTTTATATTCAAAGCAGGGAACGGGTGGTGGGGATGGGTTAAACTGGCCCTCTGATATCAGGGGCCTCCCATAGCGGCCATCAATGGCATTGCACTGCATACCACGAAAGTTGCAGAAAACAAAACAATAAAAAATACTTCATCAGTAAACAATCGCGAGAACTCATCTTCACAACTGTAGACTCGTATACGATAAAATTCCCCAGACTACCAAAGCCATGACGGCACCCCTATTTTTACCAAGAATATTTGTTATTTGTATATCTTATCTATTTGCCAAGAAAACGCGCAATTCACCAAGACTGTAAAATAATCAGATTTTGAGGGTAGAGAGAGAACCCTACAAATACAAGTGTGTGACGTTTGAACACTCAGAAGTGCGTACAACCTTCACAAAAATGTGTGACAATTGTGGCATGCATAGAAAATATGATAGCCATATCATTCACAGAAATTGTGTTGCATATAGTTAAAGGACCCATAGAGTATTCTGGCGCACGGGAAAAGGCGAATTAGTTGGATTCTGCGTGATATTGCTGCTGTTTTGCCGCTCATAATAAATGAAGGAACAAATTCTCATAACAAACTACAGATATCATAGCAATTCGGGTGAATAAGTTTGTGAAACCGTTTCTTTTGCCGTGAGTCTCCCCCGCTCCCTGGACGCACGGTGTTTCGATGGTATATCAGACCTGGCTGCGGGTGGCGCTCGCCATTAGCGATCCAGGCGTCGGTGCGGACGGGAGCAGCCAGGACCCCCTGATACCTCGTCGTCAGAGACACTCAACATGGCCGTGGCGAGGATTCTGTCGGTGAGAGAATTTACCAGAGCAACGACTCCCATTGCTTATTGCCCTTCCTGTAAATTAAAGTGACTATTTCTTGGCACTCGCTTTTATGCGAACATGTTTTGTATCATTCGGACCGCGAGTTCTGTGCTTCGGCCGCCAGAGCACTGTTCTTTCAGCGTTCACACTATTTGGTGACGACCCCCAGCCAGGCCAGTCACATAAACATCAAGGTTGAGGTTCTTTATCAGTCGGCCGCTTCGCGTGACCTCAAGCGGTGCGCTTTTATTTGAAACTGGGAACTTATCCTTGTGTTAAATATGCGGTAGGGTACACTGTAAATTGCTTACGAACTATAGGTTCGTAATGCAAACCAAAACGTTCGTAGCTTACGAAGGATTTTCAAGCGTTGTATTACGAACTAATTGTTTGTAAGCTTACGAACAAATAGTTCGTAATGCAAACCGTTTGTTCGTAAGACCCGTCTAGCTTTACAAACAATCGCTTTGCAATACGAACAATTTCTTTGCAATACAAAGAACGAAAATTGTTCGTAACCTTGCAAAGTATTTAGTTCGTAAGCTTTTTACAGTGTAAGGTGCCCTAATGTGGCCACTGTCCATTGATTGCCACTTTTCTCGATTTCGAGCCAATCTGGACACTTTCCAATCTTGGCCTTGAAGTTGTGTTCTAGTCAGGTCCCCACTTGGCCATAATAAGCCAAACTACTTCACATCGTTGTCTACATTACAAGAAAAAGGGGTGGCCATCATTGGGCAGGCCCATTCTTAAGGTGGCCATCAGAGAGCATCTTACCCTAATGCTCCGTGAGCTTCTGTAAATAAATTTTTGATTAGTTTTGTTGGCTGCTTGTCTCAAAATCTGAGCGGTGGACAGACATGTTCGTTGTTATACCTTTCCAAAATGTCGATACTGAACTCAAATTTGTTAACACAAACACTTGAAATACCCCAGACTATCAATATTGTTTTGTTTTTGTTAAGTTACTGCTGCTGCTGGTCCTCGCGGTGGCGCTGGCCATCCCGCTGCCACAGGTGGGGCACGCTGGCCACGGGCACCATATAACGCCTCATCACGCGGGTCGCCCTGCTGCGGCCCGGCCCGCCCCCCAGCGCACTTCTGGTTTCAAGCGCCTGCGGTCGTAGACATGACTGCATATTACATTGATAGGGCTTTTTGTCTGAGAGCGACTGTTGCGACGATCCTGTTTTAATCGACCGTGCACTCATTTATTATGTTGCCGGTGTTTCCTGTGATTTTTAATGTACGTGTAGTGTGATATTTCTAAAATTATTTATTATAAAAATTACGAAAAAAACTGTTTTCTCTACTGCTTTTATTTTAAATTAGTCCAAAACAGTACCTGGGAGATTCATCATGTATACATGATTAAGAGTATACTCTCAAAATTTGACATTTTAAAACACTTTAAACTACGTGCCAATATGTCTCACCCAAAGCAGTGTGTGACCAATATGTTATCAATAGAAAGGAGTGTAACAGGGCCATAGAGCACACATGAAATGAAGGAGAGCAATTCGTCGGGCCCATACTTTCATGAACAAGATCCAAGCCTTCTCTGTCAATTCAAATGCGTACATTGTATACTTTAAAGAGAGCGTACATGACATGTATACTTTAATTAATGCGTACATGCCATGCACGCATTTATAAATGCGTACTTTGGTATGTATACATTTATAAAAGCGTACAGGGCCATGCACGCATTTATAAATTGCGTACCTTGGTATGTATACATTCTTAAAAGCGTACAGGGCCATGCACGCATTTATAAAAGCGTATACATGGCCGTACGTGGGCATGTACTCATTTTTAAAGGCGTACATTGCTATGTACGCTTTTAGAAGTGTATACTTGCCATGCACGCTTTATTTAAAGTATACAATGTACACATTTGAATTGACAGAGTTTTTCTTTGATTTGATGAAGTAGCAAATAACGGGTATCGGTAATAAAATGCAGTCACATCAGTTAATCACTGTGGGAAATAGTCGTAGGCCTACGGGAAAACTTTGAATGTTGTAAAACCACAATTTGAAATGGTAAATTTGTATGTTTTTGTGCAAATGTCCACGCTATCTTCAAACTACGTTTCGTTTTGAAGGAATTTGATGGCGCAGAAATGCAGAAAGTAATGCATAAAAAAAGTTAAATTCAACGCACAAATGTGTGCAAATAATTTTAATCATTAAATCCGTGGGAATAAGAAATACAAGTAAGAATAAGAAATACTGTATCGACTTGGCTTTGATCGACAAGAATGGACTGTTGCGAATTTGCAACATACTTTGTACATAAGAATATCGACAAATGTATATTTTACAAGGTTATTCTTCACAGTGATGTGTTTGGCAATCCGTTGATGTGATAAATTTCTTGAGGTGTAAAGCCGTGTTTAGAACAAGATTAACTCCAACTTTTTTTTTTTACTTTAGTTCACTTTAGTTTATTCTTCGCTCGGATATTCCGACCTAGCCCGGGAGGCCTGCGAAACCCCCGCCGTTTTGATAGAAGTTTTGGCCTCCCTGGCCGTATTGGTTTCCTGCCGCTCCAGAGGATTGCTGGTGGTTGGTCGCAATCAGCAGTGCACTGTCCTGCGACTGCTGTCCCTGATTGTAACTTGCGCCCTGGTTGTAGCCATTGCCGCCACCCGCCGCGTATTGGCCTCCAACGCCGCCGAGACCTATGCCTCCTGCCCCGCCGAATCCTGCCCCGCCAAATCCTGCTCCTCCAAGTTGTCCTCCGGGAATAAAGGGGACCCCAAAGGCTGAACCCAAAGCCACGGCGACTGCCAGCACCACAACGACCTAGAATGAGAAAAGGGCTATAGTTAGTCAAACGAAAGGGCGTTGCAGGCCTCGATATTCGGCCGCTCACTCTTACCTGAGCAAAGAACTTCATGGTTGTCCCGACGACGCTGCTCGCACAACGGTGCCGGACCACTGGTCTGTGGAGCGTTATATACAGCGGCTGGTCGCCTTATCACGGCACGGAAGCTGCTCCAGGGCTCGACAGGGAGATACACTAATCCACAGCACCATTAGTTGACTGTTCAGATCCAGACCCCCGTGAACGCTATTATTGTATTGAAAGCGTTAATATTGCACTTTGGCACAAGGTTATGCACCACGCTTCCCATTTATTTACATATTTGAAAAAACCCACGTAGCTCCTAGATTCTTGCAGTAAATTTTTGCCCAGTCGCTTTCTGCGCGATCTTGTCTTGGAGGTACCCACTGGTCGAGGCGCTTTTTGCTGGTGGGTCCGCAGGTGGATTTAACTAAAAGCTAGGATGTCCCCCGCCCCCTCCCCCTCTACCTCTTAACGTCTTCGCTAAATTTCAGTTTTCTAGCGTCCCTACGGGCTTGCTTAGGCGCTTCGCGTAGACGAGGAAATACTGGAACAAGGTGGCACCGTGGCACCTGACCGTTCTGCTTTGAAGAGCACGGCCGTTAATAAGGGGAGCTGCAAGCTTATATTTTATGCGAAAAGTCCTTCAACATTGACTTTTGCCAAATCTGTAAAAAACAATCCCGAGCTCCTAGATGGTTCAAGTTAGGGCGTTAACAAAACC